AGTTGTTTTATGACAACGGTATGCAACAAATATTTCCTCATAGAATGGATAATCACTGGTAGTATAAATACTGGTCGAAGATATCACACAGCATCCGTATTAGCAAATGGAGAAGTGTTAGTTGCTGGCGGAGACAATGGTGTTATTTTGAATAGTGCTGAGTTATATGATTCATCAACAGGACAGTGGGCAACCACTGGCAGTATGAGTACTATTCGAAGATATCATACAGCATCAGTATTAACAAATGAATCAGTGTTAGTCGCTGGTGGAGGCAATGGTGGTGTTTCTTTGCAAAATGCTGAGTTGTATGATTCATCAACAGGACAATGGGCAATCACTGGTAGTATGAATATTGCACGAAGATTTCATACAGCATCCGTATTAACAAATGGAATAGTATTAGTTGCTGGTGGGGACAATAGTATTGTTTCGGATAGTGCTGAGTTATATGATCCATCAACAGGACAGTGGACAATCACTGGTAGTATGAATGCTGCTCGACGACTTCACGCAGCATCCGTCTTAACAAATGGACTTGTATTAGTTGTTGGTGGAGACAATGGTAATGTTTTGAATAGTGCCGAGTTATATGATCCATCAACAGGACAGTGGACAATCACTGGTAGTATGAATACTAGTCGAAGACTTCACACAGCATCCGTCTTAACAAATGGACTTGTATTAGTTGTTGGTGGAGACAATGATAATGTTTTGAATAGTGCCGAGTTATATGATCCATCAACAGGAGAGTGGACAATCACTGGTAGTATGAATACTAGTCGAAGACTTCACACAGCATCCGTCTTAATAAATGGACTAGTATTAGTTGCTGGTGGAGACAATGGTAATGCTTTGAATAGTGCTGAGTTATATGATCCATCAACAGGACAGTGGACAAACACTGACAGTATGAATATTACTCGATCTGCTCACACAGCATCCCTATTACCAGGTGGAACAGTGTTAGTTGCTGGTGGAGACAATGGTAATGTTTTGAATAGTGCAGAGTTATATCAACCGTAACAAACAAACAAAATAATAAATAAATCTATTTTTTTCGATGAAGAATCTTGTTTATGAAAACCAATTTAACATTAATATTACTTTAGTTTACTCACACTCTACACTGTAAAACATGCGTAGAATAATAAACCCAAAAAGGGTTTATAAAAGGATTTAGGAGATTTTCAGATACCCCGAAACGGTTTAGGCAACGCTTATAATTGTTATCACAGCGTTTTCTAAACTAATTACTAACTCCTTTCTGAGTATCTCAGAATGTCCTAAACCCTTCTCGAAAGCCTTTTTAAGTACCTCATTATCTCCCAAACCCTATGTTACAGTGATGTCGCATGTATACATATTCACTATTTATTGTTAACCTCTATTCTCTTTCATCTCGTTGATTCTTTAATTGGTTTCTTTGTTTTCTCGTTCTTCATATATATATCTCATCTATATCGTATATGTAATTCAGAATTGTTTTTCGATTACATAATAAAGTTGTCCACGTACATCAAGGACATACGGAAGATCGTCCATATATATAGGACAGAAAAGAAAGAAAGAAACCGTAACAATTGGCAACCCTGGAAAACAACATATATATATGTATTTAAAAAAAAAAGCAAACAACATCATCATTACCCAGGTCGAAAGTGGGCCATCGGATTCTGTCGGATCTGTCTCAATCCGATGAATTCCGATGACTGAATCCGATAGAATTCCGATTGTCGGAATCCGATCGGATCACAATTGATTCCCATA